AACTAGATAGTGCTCTCAGGTAGAACTTCCTTCGCTCCACGTCTGGGTGTGAAGAGACCCTCTTAGGAATATCTGCAGCAATATCTGCAGCAACAGCATGCAAGTAGTCTCATGTTCATCCCATCCTCCTCCTGATTAATCCTTCCCTTTGTCAGAGGCACTGGTGCAAAGCTCATCCTGCCCCTCTATGAACACAAGATTAATGCATTTTTTACCCTACAGCATTCTTTAGGCTGCTGGTAAACAATGCAGATGCAAGATGCTGATTGGCTAGTGTTTAATGAATTGTTGAAATTAAAGCAAAACAGGTTTTTGTCTCTGTTTTGTAACATGCCATGTCCCAGCATTGCAGTGTGGACCTTGCTGCCAAATATTGCTGAGTTCTGGAACTCACCCAGTCCCCATCTGGCTTCTGAAGCACGTCATGCAAGTACCTAGGGCCCACTGAGAAGAACTGTGAGATACTGAGAGCAGTAAAGATATGACAAAAATGACAGAAATGCTTATAGAAGAGACAATAAAAAAAACGTTTCAGGGAAGCACCAAGACAGTGCTCATTCATAACAGGCCCCTTTTTTGTATATTGGTGAGTGAAGTGTGCCTGGCAATCCAAAGGCAAGTCAGGGTCCTTGCCTTAAAAGAATAAACTTATAATCCCCGGCATTTTATAGTTTTCCATCACCGCTTTCCCAATACAGCTGCAATAGATTGCAAAGCATTTCACAGATGCCAAGCCCCTGTGATTCAACCCTTTCGCCTGACATTCTGCAAACAAATGGTTCATTTTCAATAAAGGTCATAAGTTAAAGGGAAGCAGGAGAGCTATAAAATGAAAATGTATGCTATCTGAAACACTGTGACAGAAGCAATATAGAGCAGATATTGGTAGTTCAATGTAAACACTGGATGCAAGTCCAGTAACAAAGCTAGAAAAACAGCATTTCAGCCAGCAAAACCCTGAAAGAAGAACTGGAAGTCTGAAAAAGGGTTTTAGGCTTGTCAGCCTCTGTTTTGCCCCAGTGGTTTGAAATTGCAGCAGCAGGGGTTCTTGTTTACAAAGGACATCTTTCATCTCCATGCTGCCAGAGACAGTGAAAGGCACCACACACTCATTTTTTGTCATGGACACTTTGAACAGTGAGGCTAATCAGAAGGGAAGGTATAGTAAGGGCCTTTGTGAAAGTAAGGGTGAAATGCTATGGGATAATAGGTAGTGAGCCAAAAATGAGCTTGCAGGCCACTCTTTACAGAGCCAGACCCACTGCATTTGTTGCTGCTTTGTGATGGAGTGGCGTTTCCCCAGGGAATATCACATGTATGTGTATGCGTGTGTGTGCCCTTGCTTTTCTTATTCAGCTTTCTCAGGAGCAGCCCACTGATGACAGCTGAAAGGCTCTGGTGAAGGTCCTGATTAGTGTCCCAGTTTTAATTGGGGATAATCACTTGCCAAGGCTAGAGTTTATTTAAAACTTGATTGAGGGGTTACTTGCTATTTATTAGAAGTTATTTGCTGTTTTTCAAAGGTTAGACACCATGAAGTGTGCATATAGACTCAGCTGAAAAAGTTTCGTGCAGAATTATTAGTTGTCCTTGGTCTGTAAAAGAATGTTGGCATATCTTCAGTTTTACTTCTCCAAATGAATGGTAATTGTGTTTGCTGTGTTTCAGTTGGGATTAGTAATACTTCGTGTTTTCATCCCAAATCAATCTGAATTAGCTTCGTTCTCTCAGTGAATTAAACAATTGCCCCATTTCACTAGTGTCACTTATTGCTTATAAATTGGATGAAAACAGAGCCTCCCCAGTTCTTATTTTTGCACATTTCTGCCTCTGAGTCTGAGCTGGTGAGTGGAAAAGGTCAAAATGCCAGCAAGATTCAAACGGGTATTTGAGTTCAAAGGTACATATGCTAAACCTTTGTTTATATCTGCTTTCATACAGAATTAGCATTTCTGTATGAATGCAAAGACAAACTAGGAAGTATATGTCAATGAATGTATGAATTTGAATGAATGGATGAATACCCACTTGCACGCAAAAAACATGTCTGTATGTTTCACAAACAGTTTTACAGGCAGGAGTTTAAAAACTAGTAGTGAAAATAGAACCTTAAGGCAGGCAGAAGCAGCAAGAAGATGGAGACAACCTAATGTGATGACTAAAAAGAACTGTAGAGCTGTCATGAAACAATATCTATGGTACCAAAACTGACTTTCATCAGGGTGAGTGATAGCAAAATTACCATGGGTGGTTCAGTGTGTAATGAATTTCAGGTTTTTAATGCTGCATCAGTGATGGAGTATATTATTACATGGCCAAAGGGGGTTGATATGAATGCTTATTAAGTCTTATGACCCTTCAAGCAAATTCAGTATTAGAGCTGCAACGTGCCAAATCTGTCACTGAGTGTTACGCTAATCTCCCATTGACTTTTGTGGCAGTTTCCCTTTCAAAGTGATGGCAAAAGGCCAAGGGCTCTGAGGAGGGTGGCAATGTCCCAAAAAACAATGTAAATGGAAAAAATAGGAAAATTTTGTTAACAATGTACTTTATGCATATTGGGATTCAAATTGTTCTGCTACCTTTTAATGTGTCTTTGTGAGGCATACTCTTGGAAATACTTCAGTTGTAAGACTCTCCAACAATAGAAAGTGAGCAAATTAAAGATTCTGGGAGAAGACACAAAATATATTGATGGAAAAAGAAATTAGGACACCAAAAGTTAAGTGCAGTACTTCTGAAATGAGAGGGAGGAGCATCTGAGAAAACTTTAGAGGGTAGTGCAAGAAATAGGAATCATTCTTGTGTTGCTGCATCCAGGCACTAAGTGAAACCTGCCTGGGCAGTGCCTGCTCTGAACTTTTACAACACAAAATCCCTTACTTTGGAAAATGCTGTAGCATCAGGCTTAAGATCCTCCTGTTTCATTACTTTGTTTTTGAAGCTTGTCCTGAGATACTAATTCTCTGTTGGCTTTGTTTCATGGAAGTGGGGTCTCCGTTTCCTTGATTAGCTGATTCAGTAGAGCTCAGGTGCTCCTCTCACACGTCATGCTTGGGTGGAGGGCATTGTTTCATTACAGATCCACTGTGTCTTGCACTTTCCTATTTTCTTGCATTGCTTCTGAGCACTGTGTAGTTGATTATTTGAGTGCCCTCTTATTAGCAAACATTCTCTTGTGTTAAGCAAACAGACATCAGCTCTATTAAATATAAATTGCTCTATAAATTTTGGTAATTAGAAAGCCATTAGAAAGCATAGACAGAAAAAAGTACATTAAAAAGCTCATTTAGCAAAATGGGAATATTATAAGAATCATTACAAAATGAGGAGAAGAGGTTTGATCAGTTTTGAAAGTCCCTGATTGACTGAAAACTAATGTTTTTGTTCTCAAATTCTTTCAAGAGTAAATACGCAAAGAAATAGATAGTGGTTGGAAATTATGGTGAAGACACTTAAAAGCATCTAGTTACAAAAGAGAACAGAGGGAGGAGACATAAGTGGTGCTGAGAAGATATGAAAGATGGATTGAACAAAATTTAAAAATCTAACACAGCCAGCCAGAAGAAAACAGCGGAGAAAAGAAAGGTGGCACTTATCAAACCCGAGGCTTTCCTGCAGACAGAGAGCAGCTAGGAGGCTGCTGGAGCCCAGGGGGTGGTCCCTGCAGTACATCACAGAGCTCACCTACTTATTTACATGCGAGTGATGAAGTCTGCTCCTCTCTGTTGTTAAGTGAGGAACAAGGGCACCAGCTCTCACCTGAAATCCACACAGGCCTGTGCAGATATTGTGTCTCCTGTAGTCTTTCAGATCTTAATGTTTTTCCCACCCAGGATTTTAAATGAGTTTTTTTTTGGATATAGAAGAATACCTTAGGGAATTAATAGTGTCAGGGGCAGGACACCTTTGATTGCTAGTAACAGAAAAAGTGGAAGCAGCATCTTTGTGACCTTACATTTTGTGGGACCTTTGTGTAGCCAAAAGGGTTCTTGTGGTGTATAAATTAGCAGTGAAACATATAGATGGGGCCATTTCTGAAATGTAATAAAAATAGGGGGCCTGAATTATTCAGCTCTGTGTTTTGCTTTTGAAGCTCATTGCAAAGCATCGTGTTTGCTTACAAAAGCCCTAAAGCTATGAAAATGCAAATGGGGAGGTGGGATAGCACACGCTCTTGAAGACCATTCACTTTCACTGCTCTTGTGCAATTGAAAACAAATCTGGGCTACCAAATTGAGTTATCTGCAGGACCAAGAGATCCTAACATGTTTGTGATCTTTCCAGCTCATTAATGTTTTAGAGGATGCTTCTCTGTTCTTGGAAGAGAATAGCCTTTATAAAAGCTTGGTGGGGTGGTAGAGATGTGGGTTGGCAGAGGGCAAACTGACTGTTCAGGGTAAGACAAGCCCGTTCCTCTGGAAGCCAACTGCCCAAGAAGCCATAAGCCTAGCTCCTCCTGGGAAAGCAGTGTGAGTCCAGTTCTGAAGTCTGAAAATAGGAGCTGTATAAGAGGAAAAATGGCATCGTCTGTTACATTTTTAGTCGCCATTTTATTTAAGCTGCTACTAGAAAATATCATTTGAGGGGTTACTCAATGTATTTGTTTTCTTCTAACATAAATCCAAATAAATAACTCATGCATTAGATATATTAAGACTTTAAAATTTTCAATTAATCCTGTGAAAATTCTATTTTCCCTGTAGATAAGTGTTTTTTATAATAATTAATAACAAACATGCTGAAACCAGAGATTGGATTTTTATTACTACCTTTCTCTCATGAATGACCAGATATACACTTTTAAAATGCCTCTCAAATACTGTTATTCCTATTAAAATTTATGTGTAGATGAATATATTTGAAAAACGCGGTGTGTGTGTGTGTGTGTATACTTGTGCACACACACAGAGACAGCACATGCATGCAGATACACATAGTAGTTTCTCTACATATCACATGTATAAAAATATACATAAAGAACCACAGTGCAAGTGTACAGTGTTTATTTTTAGCATGGCTAAAACAAAGGCACCCTGATGGGACAGAAAGAGAACCATGAACAAACTACTGTACAGGAATCAGCTGTTTCATCCACATGTATCAGGCAATTCTCACTCCTTTTTGAAACACAGTGCTGTCTTGAACATGCAGGTTAGGAGGAGGCAGATGGTGAGTTAAATTGAGATTAAACACAGCTAATCTACATGAACACCCTCTCAGGTTACCCTTGTTTTCTTCTCTTCTTCATGCATCTATTTGTTTGGGGGAATTGTTAAATTCTATTATTGGCAGAAATATGTTGGCCTTGAACACTGCACAGCTCATGCTTTTGTAGGAAGAGCCAGGACCGAGCCAGAGAAGGACATTTTCATCTGTGTGAAGTAGTCACTGTTCTTTTATTACAGATTTCTGCCACATCCACCACCAAATCATTCACCCTGGAAGTGAGCTAGTGGATAATAAAAAACCAGAAATGAATAATGATAGTAATCATAAAGTATACCTGTGTGTATAATGAAGTAAAACTGAATAATTCAACCAGAGCATATTTTTTTCCCAAGGAAGCTACATGCTTCTAGCCAGGTGGAATGTAAGCAAAGTTTTGTGACCTCTGTGTGAGGGTCTCCCTGCTCAATATAGCACAATGTAAACCATATTTTCTTTATCCTGGCAGACTTTCTTGAAGACTGGGAAATTAGAGGCTTATGATTTTTGAGTGGCTATGAACATAGGCTGAATTTCACAGGAATTTTTTATTCCCAGTTCTTTTGCAATAGATGTATTCTCTGAACTTTCCCAGATCATGGGGTGGGCAGCATACCCACAAATACACACATTAAACTAGGAACTGGCTTCATGCCTTCAAAAAAAAAAAAAAAAAAAAAAAAAAAAAAAAACAACAGGAAAACACTGCTGGGATGTGTCAGACTTCAAATTCCTACTGACCCCTGGGTGCAAAATCCAGGGAGTCTGCAATATGCATGTATCAGGGATCACCTCATATCCTGCCTGACACTCTGTTTTTCACACTGTTGGAGTTTCAGCATGAGAAAAGGCTGTTGTCCAGCCTGGCTACAGCTGCAGGACAAGTACAAGGGGATGGACAGGGGGCTGCACAGCCACTGGGGTCTCCTGTTCTTCCAGATGTGCATGGGGCTTGTGTGTATGGACGTGAGGTAACACAGATATTTCCATATCTTCCCCTCCTCAGTCTGTACAGCAAAGAACAAGCCTGACTTCAGACACACAGCACCTCAGAGGGTGGGGAAAAGGGATGATCTTGAAAGGCTGTAGAGTAAAATGCATCTAACACAGAAGATGGATGTGCAGTGGGAAAAAAGTGAATATAGGACTGCTGTTTTTCTTATCATTAGAGTCACATTGGAAGCTTCCACAGTATTGTTTAGCCTTAAGAGCGGCGGGGACATCCTAGTCAGCTCTGTGTCCATGGGCTTTGCCCATGTGCAATGCTGTACACATGCTGTACCCCTCTGGGGAGACCTCTGTGCCTACACAGAGCTGCCCTGCCAGCTCCTCAGACAGAGCTGCTTCTGGGTGCCACCTCAGCCTGAGCTGCCAGCTCTGGGAGATTCAACCATCCCCAAAGCAAAAACTGAGCACCTGCTCCAGTGAAACCTCTAGACTGACACTATGTTATAATAATGCATATTATCTTGGTTCAAAAGGCCATTATTGTTTGAAGGCCTTAAAGTCTGAAAAGCAGGGATCAGTCAGCTCTTCAGAAATCTCAGAGTCAGTTCAGACCGTGCAAGAGCTCCTTTTTAAAAATTCTGGCAGATGGATTTTCTCTGCCCTGTATCCTAGATTTTTCTGAACCTCTTCTGACAGCTCAGTGTAGTCTCAGAATAGCATCACAAAGTGGAAACTCAGCACTGTTTCTTATTTCATGAAAAAAGATTTGACAAGTGATGTAGATATTAAGATCGAATCCAGTCTCATCATGATTCTTTCATGAATCTTCTGACCTGACTGCTACTAAACTTTGTCTGGCTGTGCAATTAAATAATGCCTGCTCAAGGGATGGGATTAGTAAATAAGTGTATGTCTGACCAGTGTAATTTGAAAGCAGTGCCTAGTCTCACACTGATGTGATTGGCTGTGGACAATAAGACAGTGGCCGTGTTTTTTTCTGACAGAATAAAGACTGCTCTGTAAATTGGTTTCATTCCAGTGCATCCAACTGCTCCCTGCCTCCTCTTGAATCCATTGAAAAGCAAATTCTTTTACATAACTCAATAAATAAAAGATTTGGCCAGTATTTTGGAATTCAAACATTTCATTTATTTTCTATTACTTTAATCCAAACACATGTCACAGAAGCTGCAGTTGCTGTGAATCAGTGTGTTACTACTGAGATATGAAGCATATGTGCCTGTGCCTTGAAAGAAAGCACCACTTCTTTGTAGATGTTTTCATTCTGTGAGTTAAAGCTTAAAAAAATGCATTAAATCTAAAAGGTAAACACCATTTATCAGTAAAACACAATATGATCATCCATTTTGACAGCCAAGTGATATCTCTTACTTATACCTTATGCATCCAACGTTTTTTTTTTTTAATTATTGCATTTCCAACATTGCCAGCAGAAGCAGGAATGTGAAACCTGGGAAATTAAGACCTCTGGGTTTTGGCAAACTACATGAAAGGCTTTACTACATTGGTACTGAATAACGAATCATACCACTCAAGAGTCTATTAATGGGCTCCTTTTCAGTGAATCAAAACAAGTCCATAAGATAGCCATTGAAGAAATAAGGAAAAAGGACAAATACAATGGTCTCATCATGGTTCGAATTTATCATGAAAAATGAACAAATAGCCTGTCTTCTTTCTTAAAAGGAAAGGAAACAAGGTACCCATAAAGGTAGGGGTATTAAAATGTTCCTTTCCAGGACCTCAGTTCATAAGAGCACGATTGCTGGGTATAAAAATCAAAATTACAAGGACCATCATGCCACAAACAAGAAAGTCCATCATCAGCCTCCTGGGATATCATTACACTGATGGAGGACAAAATCAAAATGGTCTGGATAGTTTTTTTCAGAGTTGTACTCATGGCATCCATCCAACAACACCCGCATTACCTAGCATTCAAATTAAAGGGGAACTGTCAAATATCTCATGGAATCTTATCTCATGGCATCTTACTTTATTTTTTCAAATGTTGAATGCTGTTATACACATATATCAAGCATGTAGACGGCCTTAAACCACATTTTTTTTAGCAATCTCATCCATCACTACCATATCTTTTTTCTTTTTTTTTTTTTTTTTTGGAGGAGGAGTGGGGTTGGTTCAATGGAAAAGAAGGAACAATAATTATGAAGGATTTAAGTGAAAGCAAAATGCCGTTCATTGCATATGCCCCTTGTTTGTAACAAAAGAAGGAATAGAGTATTTCTTCTATATTAATATTGTTACTGTAACATAAATCTATATTCTGTTCTATTAATGCATTACCAACAGAAAGAGACCTAAGGAGAATCTCCATTCCTTTTTGGATGTGGGGGGAAAGAGCTGAACTGAACTATGTTCAGTTTTGGGCAGCTCACTAAAAGGAAAGGGGTGCTGGAGCATGTCCAGAGAAGGACAATGAAGCTGGGAAAAGGTCTGGAGCACAAGTCCTGTGAGGAGCAGCTGAGGGAGCTGAGGGTGTTTAGCCTGGTGAAGAGGCGGCTCGGAGTTGGGGTGGGGTGCGAAATGTGACTTACCACACTCCACAACTACCTAAAAAGTTGTAGAGACATGAGGATCAGGCTCTTTTCCTAAAGTAACAAGTGACAGGACAAGAGGAAATGGGGTGAAGTTTCACCAGGGGAGGTTTAGATTGTATACTAGGAAAAATTCCTGCACTGAAAGGGCTGTTAAACATTGCAAAAGGCTCCCCAGGGTAGTGGATGAGTGACAATCCCTGGAGGTATTTAAGATGTGTAGATGTGGCACTTAGAGATTTGGTTTATCTGAGGACTTTACAGCGTTGGCCTTAACAATCTTAAAGGTCTTTTTCAACCTAACCTTCTATGACCATTCTATGTATATCCACTTTTCCACTTTCAGATGTATTTTTCAGCAATTAGATGTAGACTACTAAATTGCTATTCTGTACACCCTGTGTCCTGATTACCAAATACTTTTCTTGGACATATGCTTATTAAAAAGATTGTAAATTTACTGGATTACAGATTACACTGGAAAATACAAGTGAACATACATTCATTTAATACAATATAGAAACCATCTTCATCATTTATCTAATAAAAAGAAACCCATTTCAGTTGATGCCCCTTTGTAATGTCCCTGCCAAACCATTTCCATCTGAACCAAAATAATTGCATTGATCACCATGGCATCACTCTTATTCTCTAATGGACCTGGAAATAGATCTGGGCCTCATCTACAGATGTGCTTGCCCAAGCCTGAAGTAACTGTTTCAGAAACTCAAATCTGTTACTTCACCAAAGCTGATTCTTTGTTGAAAGTAAATTCATGAAAGAAATTGCTGTGCTTTGATTAGGCAAAAATATCCAGCAACTGAAATAATTCAAGATAAGAGATCAGAGTTAGAGATATTACTCCTTCCCCTTTGGGGTTGAAAGAGTCCGTGATAATATAAAACAAAGAAGCTGTATGGCTCTTGCTTTCTTAATGTCCTGCCTCTGTTCCCTGATCATTTGGAATTTGGCATGTAATTAATCTTTTAAGTTCATGATGCTACAAGGACATAACCAAAAAGCGATATTTGGCCCGAAACAGAGTATTCCCAAGTGAAGGTCTGGGGCTTCATACACTTATTTTTTGGATGAGAGTATACAGATTTGACATTTTTTAGCATGTTGAGGGAATTGCATGTAACCCAAGGCTTTGTCTGGAATATTAACCATTACAGAATGATTGTGTTTGGAAACGATCTTACAGATCAAACACAGTCTCTACTATGGGCAGAGACCAGGTTGCCCAAAGCCCCATCCAGCCTGGCCTTGAGCAGTTCTTGAACACATATCTTTATTGCTGCTGAGTAGCAAGGCAGTCATGCCATGTCAACTCTGTGCTGTGCCTCCTTAGGTACAGAGTGAGGGTCACATCCTTTTCTGGGGTTGGTCCATTCCAAAACCAATGATATTGTTGTGTGCATTGTACAGGCTCTGTGTTTCATCAGGGAGGTGTTGTAATGATTCTTCCTGTTCTAGCTGCAATAATCCAAATAAAAGCATTCCATCTAAAAGTGTGTGTGAGCTGTGAAGATGCATGATATTGGGTTTCAGGGAGTAATATAACAGTGTTGGGTCAGTATTTCTAATATAACTGGAGACTACTGAAAATTGAAGAATAAACTATTGTCAGTGAGCAGTAAATTATGAGAACTGTTCTAGCTATAGAGTAAACAAGGAACAAATTTTATTATCAGGTTCTGTGAATGTGTTTTTTTCTCTGTGAATGTTCTGTGTGAAAACTCATGGTTTGAATTACTAGGCAAGCCTTTTTTATGGTGACCTTGATTTCAGGATTGCTTTGATTTTTCTCAGGTGTTGAAATAAACCGATAATATTCCTTTCAGCTAATAACTACAGGGAAGCTCTTAGTTCATTGTATCAGGCTTCTCAAAAATCCCTTTGTCCAAGTTCTGTCATAGAAAGATGACACTGAATTTAAGAACTAAAAAAGTTTATTTTAATTTGGTAATCTTTACTCTTTCCTGAAAATTTACACTAATTGTTTGGTTTTTATTCTTTTTGCATCATTCTGAATAGAGTATTTCTGTTCTCAACTTATTGGTGACCTTACCCTTAGTCTGACTTCTATTTTGCCAGCTTGGAACTGCTATGTTCAGAAGTAACTGGGGGCTACTGACCAATCTCAGATCAATACTCCAGTGGAGACAATAACATTCATCACTGTTGTAGCATTTCTAGGTGTTTTTTTACCAATATTGAATCCAACTAATAGCACTGAAAAGTTATGGCATTTGAAGAATCCAAGGAAAATTGCTAAAGAAATTAGCTCTTGCAGGAGAAAATCTGTAACTCATGGCAAAGTCCTTCTGTCACCTGAAGTATAGGATAATAGGATTTAAATTATCATCTAGGATGCACCTAGATGCATTCATCTTAACAGTTCATTTCACAGGGGTGGATATGTGATCTTTGTATGGACACAGATTTTAAGTTGGTTCCTGTGTGAAAAACACAGTGCAGGAAAAGGAGTTGGGAGACAATGATAGCCTGTAGCTCATCAAATATTTATATTTTTCAAGACTACAAAAGCAGTGATTCACCCTGTGGTACATCAGAAAAGAACTGGGGCTTGGCTTGTTACACCTTCCAGGCAGTAATTGGATGCCGACAGTAATCAGCAGTCGGTGGGGAGCTTCTGAGGATGCCTGCTGGAGAGGCTTATTGTTTTCAAAGCCCAGTTTCTATCTTGAGAGAAGGAGGGAGCCGAGTTGTGCTGCATCACTCTCCTTGCAATCTGTTCTGGCACAACTCCCTGCACTGTGTGAGGGAGTTCAGCCGTCCTCCAGCATAGCCTTCCGATAAGAGACAGGACTAAGGGAGTCTGAGGACTCAAAGCACAACAGCAGAAAAAAGTGAAAATATTGACAAGCTTTTAGGAGGTGAAGGAATGGAATTTTTAAATAAGTGTTCTGTTTTGTACAAGACTGATGCTAGAATGCAACACTAACCTATTTTCATAACAAGGTATGCATTAGAAGTCTCAAGGCTCCCCATTTCTCTGATCCAGGTAAAATGCAAGAAAAACAAAAAAGGTAAAGGAAATCTTGAATGCTGCTGTTTGAAAAAAGCAATTTTCCTTACCTACATCAAAGAGACTACTCTCTGTCTAGCTGAGCTGATTGTTAGCTTTGCTTTATCATCACTGCTGAGCCTTCAGTTGGATGGGGTCCTAGTGCTAAAAGCCTGAAACTTCCAGAGAAGGAGCACTTTTGGCATCATTTGCTGATGGTATAGCACCTTTCAAGGCAACTTGCTTATAAGCAATCAAAGTGGAAATTTCTTTAGAGCCAGGTGGTACAGACTGTGCCTGTCTTCTGCAGCCACCTGCAGAGCTCTGGTTTTAAACCAGCTTTTAAGCCCATCACACCACCAAGGAGAGCAGCACAGCAGGAAAATCTTCATTTGTCTTTATTTTTCCAATCCATTCTCATATTATGTTTCATGGAAAGCATTGGACAGCATTTTCACTTAGGGTTATGATAGTAAATTAAAACTTAAAGCAGGGGATTTTATCTGTGCTCTCCAGTGTTACACATTGTGGCAAACCTTTTGATAACTAAGAGAAGTCACATTGGGCTAGCAACAGAGTAGTTATAGGCTGCATTTCTTTTAAGCTGTCAGGGAAGTAAGAAGCAGCATAGCTATTCATGACAGGTCTAGAGCCGGGAAAAGGAGAGTTATGATAGCTCCACTTACCTTGTCCAGCTCTGCCCTTGGAAACACAGTTCATAAGGCTCTGGTGACTGTGTTTCTATAGAGATCATGCCTTTGCCATTTGCCCTTTCACTTTGCTGTCAGCAACTTCCATGAATGAAGCTTGCCCAAAGATTTCTGCTAAGGGTTTTCTCTAAGATGGAGAGTTTATACGGCATTTAAATACATATTCAGACACCCTTCTTACTAATTGTTGCACTGAAGTTTTCCAGGTTTATGATTTCCCAAACATCTTTCATAAATTTTTCTCTCACACAACTGATTTAAATGACAGGTTAATACTGTACACCTCCAACCTGTGTGCAGGCTCACAAACTCTATACTTGCAGCACTTAGCTATTTTTCTTGCAGCCCAGATATTGATCAGTTATCCCAATTTTTTCCTTTTTAAAATTTTTTGACAGACCTTATGGTCACAGGTGAGAAATCAAATGGCATCTTCTGTCACCACGTGGTCCCTCTGCTGTAATTCACCAGACCAAGGCTTGTGCAAGAGCAAGCCATTGTTCGAGAGCACCTAAACCAGCCTACAAGTCAGCCAGGCAATTGACATTACCACTGCATGTTTCAAATTCCCTTTTGTGTTACAGAAAATGGCAAAGACTTGTGGAATTTGAGCTCTCTCTCCAGATGGGTTTCAAAGAGCATGGGACTGTCATGATCACACTGTCTGTCTGAATTTTGTGTTGATACGTTTTCTGAATTTGCATTCTGAACTGTTGAGAATGTAGTACAAAATGATGTTCCAGAGGCAACAATCAAGGCAAAAATGCTTAAAGCCCTTCAGTCATTAAGAAGAGAAAATCAATTTTCCTTCCAACACCTTATTGGACAGTTAAGTTTAGATGAAACTCATCAATGAAACCACTGAACAAGTGTCAAAATGTTCATGCTCTTCAGTTCAGTTACTGTCCTAGTTCCAGCCAGGACAGGGTTAACTTTTGCAGTACCCCGGAGAGGGCACATCTCGGACTTGGGGTTATTCTAGACCACTTTACATCATTGCCAGGGGCAGGGGAAAGGGACTCTCTTCTGAGGAGAAGGGGTTCTTTCCTGTTGAGGAAGCATGGCAGAGGAATGGAGAGTAGTTGAGTGGCATCAGTTAGGAGCTGGATGGAGCAATCGAGGTGGTGTGGCTGTGGTCAGGTCAAGCTCTTCAGTGAGCAAGTGAATTACTCTCTCTTTCGTACACTATTTTATTTATACTGTTGCTGTCAGTGTTTGTTTTCTTATCTCATTGCTGTTTCCAGTAAATTGTTCTCACCTCAACCCTTAACCTTTTGTTGCCTCCAATTCTCCTCTCCATCCTGTGCAGGAGAGGGGAGGAGGAAGGGGAGCAAGCAAGAAGCAACATGGTTTGGAAAGTCTCAGTGGAAGCTCTAAGCTGGGGAGTATCATTCCTAAATCACAACATGCATCAATAACAATATTTTCTAAGAAACAATGAGTTGTCATCCGCTGAGCAACCAAAACTACTTCAGCCTTCATGCAAAACTAGTAACTCAGTTACTTTTCCTATACAACAAAAAAGCTTAAATTTTTTTTCAAGTAACTTTTATTTTTTTGGCATCTAATTTAGTGTCCTGAATGTTTCAGCTTCCTCAGTTCCCACTATAACAGAAGGAGGAAAGTGGATACTCCTGCACTGTGCTTCTCACAGCACCCCAGTTAGGCTTTTGCTCTGAACGCCATCTCCTCTCCTGACAGTACACAGAACAGAAATTAGGAAGGATTTATTAGGAGTATATAAAAAAATATCCTCCCTTATTAGAAATTCACATTTAGTGTCTTTCTTAGAGAACATGACTATTCTCAATACTCATGGTGAATTTTCAAGCTTAACTTGTCATGGCTACTGTTGGGAAATCCTGATGTGTTCATTACCTAATGCACATGAATTAAGTAGCAATACAAAAGGATCAATCATTGTGTTCTTAAGGTTGCAATGAAAAAAAGAAATGAAGTTATTCATTTGGTCCTGATTAGACAAATACTACAAATTTTAACCTGGCAGTATCTTGAAGCCACAAAACCACCACACAAGAATTGTCATCCCAGGGAAACAACTGTGATTTTTGCTGTGACTTCATCATGGACCAAGTTGGTCTCAGTATGAGCAAAGGCTTGGAAAGGTACACAAATAAATTTGAAAATCAAGGCTATATTTGATTAAACTGGACATCAGAGGATGAAGTATCCAGACTGAGGATATCACATTTTCTGGAAATGTAACCTTTTATGATATTTTAATTGATTTGACAAAATAAGTTTTACTAGAAATAAAAAGACTAGAAGCTATTCAGATAAATTTGCACATATTTACAGTTATGAAATCTTAAGCAGATTTATAACTTCTGGCTCATACATACCTTATTCCTTAGGCATATCCTATGCCTATACAAAAATGCTGCTTTTTTCTTCCCCTTCCTCCTGAAACACCTGCAGCCGGTCTCAGCTTATCACAACACCCACAGCTGCATTTGGGGCTCTGCCTGCTGACTAAGGGCCTGTTGTTAAGTCTTGGGCCGTTTAGCTCTATCAGTCATTAAGACAGCAGCAATATTCACCCCTGGCCATTATCACTTACTCAATATCAGTTTAGTTACTCAGGAGATGAAATCTTACCAGCGTGATTAGTGTGTGATAACCACAGATCTGCAAGCCCATCAGATCATTTCCTAACACTATCCATGATAGGTGTAAAAATAATTCTTCCAGGTGGTTCAAAGCAGTTGGCTGTGTGCCTAACAACTCACTGAGGCATTGTGGGATTGCATAATAAAATACTACTTGTCATGTAGTATTTTAATTATTGTTATCAGCTTCCAGAATTTCAGTAAACTGGGCGTACTGCATAATGAATTTATACTAAGCCAGAGGCATTGTATCACAAGTAAAAAGAGAGCTATGCTGCTGGATATTTTACTGGACGTACTATTGTACCAACAGAGTAAACTTTTTAGTCTCTCAGGAAAACATTAAAAAATATGAGTTTAAGGTAGACTTTTCTTCAGCATGCCTGGATCTTAAAGTCTGTGAAAATTATAAAGTCACAATATAATAAATTCATTTTGTTAATATTATCACAGCCTGCTTAGAATTTATCTAGAGAGTAGATAAAATGACCCCTCAGGTTAGGAGACTGCAAAAGGAGGATCATCCTCTCGCGTTACATAATTTCACTTTCACTCCCTTGCACATGAACATCTCCCTCCTTTTCCAATCAGTGACATCAAAAGCACAAATACTTAAGGTAAAAACTCACAAACAGCTGAGCAACACTAGCAGAAACTTCCTTAAAATCAAAATATACATGTAGGAAATTGGGTGGAAGAAAATTAATGTAAACTAAAACCTAGAGAAAAAGCACTTCTTACTTTACTGTTCTTGAAGAATTTATATCCACCTTTTCAAACAGCTTTCCAAAGCCAAGAAAATCTGTGGTTTATACATGAAAAAACAGAAGAATAATGAGGGCCAACTATATTACATCTTTGGGACACAGGTAAAATACATAATTTCCCTTGGCAGGTGGGCTCCTTTCATTGTTTGAGAATCATTTAAGCTTACACTGCACACTAAAATAATACTTTATCAATTTTTACTGCCAATAACAGCAGAGGAAAAATTCAGTTCTTGGAAGATCAGCTGGTTTTATTCTGGTTTATTTATCATGAGGAGAACTTTATGATAATGTTAATTAAATACTCAGTGCAAAATATTACTATAGATGCATCAACCCAAAATAGCCCAGGTTGGCTTTCAGTGTTTGTTAGATTCTGGTGTATGTTTTCCTGCTCATGCTCAGAAAAAAACCCAAAACAAAATAAAAAAACCCCTCAACCTCCCCCCCCCCACCAAAAAAACCCAAACCAACAAAACAAAGCTCAACTAAAACAAATCAAGAAAAACAACAAAACAAATAAATCCTGAAAAACACAACCAATGAACAAAACAACAACAAAAACCCCAAGAAAAACAGGACAAAAAGGAAAAACTTTTAAGTGGGAATTTATGCTGAAGACACTGAAAACAATTCTCATGGAATGAAAATGTTAGTGGCTACCCCAATCTGGAGATACACTAGACCCTTGTCATTAGTCCTTTTGCACTTGCTGCTGTGCAATAATGGATGCACAGACTAAGCCACCAGTGACACGACGCAGAGATAGAGGGAGGCAGGGGTCTGCAAGCAATCCTGAGAAATTTCTCAATTCATGAAGATCACAGCGCACTCAGTCCAGAAATGCTTACTCAGAAGAGCATCCCCATTAGCTTTTGGCCCTGGACCCAGAGGATGTTGGCGCTGCTTGAAGAGAAGCTGTTGGGCAGGAGGCTGTATAGCAATCCTGGGACATGACACCGTGCCCTTGCTTTGCACAACCAGTTCTGCTGGCTCCAGAAGGGGCTTCTGTGTCCTTTGTAGCCACATGGGAATCTTCAGGTGCCCTCTCAGTGCTGACTGCATGGCCACTGCTCTGCTCCATGGGGAACACAGATAACCATGGCTGCAAGAAATCATTCTACTTGTTGAAGGGGATGCCGGGGCACGCCTTGACCTACACATTGTGCAATGCCCTGGGTTTTGCAGGGCTGAAGGGGAATTGTACCAGAACCACCCTTCTTGCTCTTCTTCCCCAAATGATGAATTCCTATGCGGTTATTTGCAAGAAGAATGCATGGGAAGAGAAGTGATTATATTTAATGTTTGTTTCAACACCTACTGTATCTGTCCAAATCTCTTCCTACATTCCTTCCTTTATTTTTGTAATTACTTTCTAATTTCAATTGACAATATCATGACCCTCTTGCTAATCACCTCTTTGCTCTTACTCTACTTTTCCTCCAGAGACTGCAGCCTGAGAAGAGGAACTATATGTGTTTTAACATGAGGTTGCACAGCATCAGATGCATCCTTTTCAGCCAAAGTAAACATGACTCTTCCCTGATTTCATGTTCTTCTTCGGAAACTTTTTATCCTAAAAATATTCCACAGCCTTGATATTTACCCCCTTTATGTGCTGGATGCTAGCAGAACATGGGCTTTGCATGCCAACAATTCTGTTTGGAGCCAGACTGCCATGCTAGCCTCCTAACTAGGAAAGCCAATGGCAAAACAATCTTACCATCA